GTTGTAGACAATGTTAAAATACAGTTTCGTAACGTAATTTTAGATCTAAAAGTGATAAAATCTAAAAATTTTTTAATCGGAATACATTAAAAATATTAAATTTTATAATAATTATATAATATTTCAATCGCATTTCTAATTATATTATTATTATTACTTAATCGGGATTTTAAAATTTATAATATTACAAAAATTTATAATGTTACAAAAATAGATACAAAAATTGTAGATATAAAGATAAAAGTGTAGATATTGATCATGTTCTTATTATATATGTATAGAAAATCTAGCCGAATATACATATAAACGAATATATAATATATAATAACATATAAGCGAATAAGAAATAAAAATTAGAATAAAATTTTTTCGTTTCGTCCTTTTTGAGAAAATTAAATTTTTTGAAGAGTGATTGTTTTGTCTTCAATTAAATATAAATAAATTACGAAAGAAAATTCTTTTATATCTGAAAATATGCAAAAATTATAGAATTTTGAGTTTTTCCTTTTTAAATGATATCTATATATATATATGTTGATGAAGACCAATTTTATAATCTTCGATTTCTAGACTTCTAGAATTCATTTTTTTCGAAAATTAATTTTTATACGAAATAAAATTATGCCGAATGTATATATTAATGGATATACTTTAAAATGTTATAACTTTTAAATATTATAAAAATATATTTTTATACATTCACATACATTAATATGTATATATCATAAATATAAAATTATATCAATAATTATATTAATACATTGTATCAATACATTATTATTTCATATATAGAATAAATATATATTATTATTTCAAGAAAGAGCATATTTTTAATGTGTAATAAATAGACAATATCCCATAAACCATTTGAATAAAAATAATAATAAATTATACGAAAAAAAATTATAATTTTCGTCACTTGAAATATTACATTGCCAAGAAACAATGTCAATAGCAATAATTTCTGAATCCACATATAAATTGAGTTATTATACGGCCATAATCCTATGATTTTCAACACAGTACGATAATTATTATACTGTTCGTCGAATATGTCCATTTTTCTATTCATTTCAGATATCAACTGAACTCAAAGAATCATTCGACTATTCTTCGTCTTAATATATTATTTATTATTATTTTTCTCTCTTGTATTTTCATAGTGTTATTTTTTAAAATAATAATAGTATAATGTGTAGCAATTGCAGTAAATTGATCGATTTTATGCATATTTTCTGCAAAGAGATTTTCCATAATAGATATTGATTTCGAGAAAATTATAGTTTCAAGTTTCTTGTTTGTATTATTAATCTTTATTGTCGTTTTTTATATTCCTTCATTCTTTTCTTATTCTTATTTTTTTCTCTTCTTTTCCAAGTTGAGAGAATGAAAATTTGTTACATTGAATAGTGTCTTCAAGTTACCTTATAAATAAGAAAACTTCTTTTTTATTTATATTATTTACTTTATTCTGTTACGAATATTTTATATCATTATTTCATTCAATGAGAGTAACAAAGAGAAATTGGAAGAATAAAGAAGGATACGTTTTACTTGAATGGTAATATATGATTTTATATGAGAAATATTAATGTATCATAATAAATATAATGTGTTGTATTAATTATTGTCCAAAATATATGTCCAAAGTAATTTTTTTATACTGAATACTGTATTAATATTATAAAAATAATTATCATTTCAAACTATTTTGTGGAATCCAATTATTAATATTTGAACGAACAATTTTATTATTTTTAATTTAATTTTGAACGAAATTGTGCACTATTATAATTTATGTAAAGTAATATGAAGCATAAATAAAATATTTTAATAAAATCCAATATAATTTTATTAGAAATATATGATAGAAAATATGTTTAAATTTATAATCTCTTATTATTGGAATTGAAAATGCTAAAATCAATTTAAAAATAGAAATGATAAATAATGGTTATATAATTTTATAATTATTGACGTAAATTTATAACAAAAAACAAATAAATTTATAAGATAATTCGAAAAAATATTTATAAAACTTTTTTAAGATGCTTATTAAGCGGAAAAATAATATACACTATAAATTAATTAGATTTAAATTAATTAGAATTAAAAGAAGAACAAGTATTTATTATTTTTTAATATTTTTAATTAATTGTTTAGTATTCAAAAGCGCAAAAAACCAAAATAATTTTTTGAAATTATTATTTTAATATTATAAACTTTAAGAAAATCTATAAAACATATAAAAAATAGAAATATTAAGAAAAAACAATCAAAAAATTTTTGAAGAATTTATTTCTAATCACTAAATAGTTGAAAGAAGTTTTTTAATTTTCTGAATTTTTTGTATAAAACTTTTTGAAATTCTGTAAAAACTCTTCAATATATTATATGAAAAAGAATCATGTAAGAAAAAATTTTGGTTTTTGAATTCTTAGAATTTGAAATTCATAATCTTAAAAACATCTATTTTGAAACAACATATTATCATTGTAACTAAAAAATATATATATATTTTTATATTTTTTAGATTCATTTTTTGATTCATAATTTATATTATTTTCTAATCAATCCAATATTTTGTATTTATTGTTCAACGCACGAGATACAAAAAATTATATCATTTTATATATCGTTGATTTTAAAAAAGATGATGATGGTATATTATATAATAATCATTAAATCTTAAAACTATATATATATATATATATATATATTATATATTATATATATATTATTATATTATATATATAAATATAATAATATTTAATAAATATATAAATATGTATAAATATATAGAATATAATAAATAAATATATAGAATAAATAAATTGTGAATTAACATATTTACAGAGATATTTGACAATTCTTTAAAAAATCCTTTAGGAATTTATTCGTGACTCCATTTTAATATTAAAATTTAAAATTTTTCTTCTTATCATTCAATTATCATTCCATCAATATACGATAATAATTTTTATTATTATATCGTTTTCGTTTTTATATATTCGAGAAAATAAAGTTATAGATATTCCACAAGTATTCTGATTTATATTGTATTTGTTGGAAAATGATGGGGGCCTAATGTTTGAATTAAATTGTTAAATAAATAATTCTAATAAACTAAAATCTAGAAAATTTTAATATAATATAATATTTTGATATTTTAATAACGTGCAATATATATATTAACGAAAACTATTAATTATATATCAAATTATAGTAAATTTCAGGATAGTAGCATTATATAACATTATATATAAATTCATGGATAAATTGTTGTAAAAATGTTTTATTTAAATCCATAGATAAATTATTCTGACACTCAATCTACCTACTTGCTGAAATCCGTAAAAACAAATCAAAATTCCCATAAAATTTCAAATTAGTTAAGATGAATATATTTTTCTTTATTATAATTAGTAATTTGATTATCAAAATAATTTTATTCGGAGAAATTATGAATGAAAATAACATTAAAATGCAGTGATAATGTGAAAAAAAATGGAATATTAATGGATATAAAACATGTGATTAAAATATATTAATACGATTAAAATATCGATATTGAATTTTAACTATTATTTCTATTAAAGTTTAAACTAAATGATTTTGAATATTCTACAAATGAGATGTCTGAATTGATGATATTACTCAAACAACCACCTACTATCGCAGGACTGTATGATTTATATTTGAATAAATAAATAAATAATAATTATTTATTTTTAATGTTTGCAGCTAATGTTTGACTGATTGTAATAATTCTAATTGTACTTTGATTTGTATTGTCGCTAAATTCTATCTGATCTAAATTCTATTTTTTTTTTTTTTAATTGATCTGATCTAGAAGGCTTTCGCGGATTTTGATTTTTCCTCCAATCATTATTTTCCGCGAATTAAAAAGGGGATTAGAGGAACCAATAGTGATATTGGAGAGCGGTTTCGAAGATGACATTGCACCGCGTGGAGATCAAGATTCTTGCCATCGTTTCCATAGTAGTCACTTGCAAAAAAATAAACAAATGTAAAATGTATATATCTCAATGCTCTTGTATCTCTATTTAGATTGAAGATCTGAAAACTGTACTTGCTCGTAAATGTTAGATTTTTGAAAATTGTAAGCTGAAGAAATAATCCTTAAATAATAGATTAAAATTTAATTTGCATAATTAAAAGTAATAAAAATTTTTTTTTTTAAAAAACTTTATTATTGCTTCCAAAATTTATAATCAGTTTATTCGGAGGAGTTTCTTACATGGAAATTTTTTTTCATCATTGTCGATCCATTATTATCGATCTTTATTAAAACTAAACAAAGAATAATGTTGCCTGCTATTTTTAAAGAGAATTTAATCAATACTTACAATTGCATATTTTTCACATACCTCAGCTGATTTATATCGCGAAATATTAATTTAACATATATAAATTTATGTAAAATTTGTCACTTTTTAAAAATTACTATTATGAAAATGTATTATTATAGGAATTTAAGAAAATATGAAAAAATAATAACAGCAGAATTCAAAAAATTAAATATTTATTCCGTCATAATAATTTTCTTTTCACTGTTATCATAATTATTTATCCCTTTTTTGGACACAGATTTTTACTATACCATTGATACGAATTAATTAAATGTTATAAAAAAAATTGATACAATTGATTTAATATAAATTAATTAAATTAAAATGTAATATAAATGTTATATGATTTAATATAAATGATATAAATGTTTAAGCACACATATTAAAAATGAAATAGTTATTTTCTCCTAAAATTAAGAAATAAATATATGAAATAATAATTATTCTAAATTAATTATAATGATAGCAAAACAGATCAATAACAAATAATATAGATTAATTAGCAATTCAAGATTTTTGACTAGGAAAATATTAATAAAAAAAAAAACAAATAAAACAAAAGACAAAATGAAATACAGTAATAATAATTATTTATTTCAATATTAATACATTTAATAAATGATATTATCAATTCTGTATCGAGTATATCAAAGTAAAATATGAAAACGAAGTGCTCAACATCTGAAATGAAACAATTTTTATTACTTTGAATTAAAATGATGATGATTTAAACAAATTACCGTTGTAAATCCTGCATAGCATGGAATGAACACACCAAAGATGTGAAATATATATGCCGTTGAACTTCGTATCATAATAAATAATAAAATCTTTTGTACCTTTAACGGTACAAAATACCATACTGAAATATATCTGTCCAATGAATAAAGATTTTCTTTTTTACTGTTATTGTAATTAATTTAATGAATAAAAATTCAAACTTACAATTCATGAAAAAATTCTTCATTGTTGTTTATAAGTATCTGAGCATTGTGGTTCTTTAAAAACATTATCATTAATTGATTGATAAAAAAGATAAGAGAGATTAAAATTTCCAATTGATCCATTTTAGCTATAATCGCACTCACTAGCTGTTTAATAATTAAAAAAATTAAGTATATTCCATACAATATATTAATTTTTAAATTGATTACATTTATTTATTATATATTTAATTCAATATATAGAAATTCGAAGCGATTCGTTTAGTATGTTTCATAAATTCAAAAAAATAAAAAAAAATCATATGCAAGATTATCTTTGTATATACAAGATGTCCCATTTTAATTTCTATTCGCACAATTATCTTCTGAATTATGCATTATTTAAAAAAAAATGTTGCGTATAAAATTTATATTTCAAGAGGTCTTATGATGATCATCACATATATTTAAATTTTTTTTTGAAGTTTGATGATAATTTTTGTTTTTTTAAATGAAATATAATGCATTTATAGAGAATTTTAACCTATTCCATTATTATACGAATTATGTTGAAACACTGAAGCTCACTCAAGATCATGTATAATTGTTTAAATTTTGCTTTATTTATGACCAGAAGATTTTTGATTGAAATAAATTATTATTATATAAAGAATAATACATTTATCAACATAAAATATTTTATAAGTTATTATTCCATAGAACTTGAATTTTTTTCAGAGTTACATAAATGGAAGAATTTTTAGAGAAAAGTCAACTATTATATGAAGAATCACATAAGAAATGTCTTTTAAATTAATTGTGATAGTTCTGAGTGAAAAGAACTATAATTTAAGAACAGAATAAATTATCTGCATCGATGTGCAAGGATCTTTCTTAAAATATAGGATAAAAAAATTAATTTTTAATAATTAATAATAGGAAATGTCGAATAATGAATAGTCTTGAATGATTTCTAAAAATCATAATTAGGAAAATAAATTTGGAATAGATTACGATTCTCATTAAATAAAAATATATAATTTTATTAAAAAAAAAAATACAATACAACAGAAAGTTTGAAAATTCGAAAAAGTCTTCATCTAGATAAATCAAAGAATTAAAAAAAGATATTTCTTTTCAAACACAAGTTTCCTATAATATATATTATTTTGGATAATACATAATTCAAAAGATTAATTGTATGAAAAAAATTGAAATAAAACATCCGATATAACTGAGAATTCTGATATATGCGAATTCGTTTATCATTATCATGTAATAAAGAAAAGATACTTACTCGATGCAGATTTAAAGCTACTGAAATTACTAATAAAAAAGAGGACATCATAAACTGTTTTCCTGAATTATTTATCATAATACTGATAAATCTTTCATTGCCACATGAAATTCGCGAACGAAATATTATATATAACATAAGTATATGAGAGATTAATTTATATTAATATCATATTTTAATTTACCAACCTGATAGTTTGATTATGAATATCCACTACACGATAAAGCTCTGCGAGTTTCGAATCAATTTGCTTCGATGAGAGATTAAACATAGTTAAATATATAATAATCTTTTGTATTCGATGGCTAAAAATGAGATTTGTAAATAAACATTGCTTAAAAAAGAACTTTATAATTTTATTGTTTAAAATTGTTTTGTATATGCTTGTACAGTCATGCTTGATCAAGAGAATACACTCTTCAGAATAACATTTTTAAAAATTGTATTTAATGACTTAAGTTCCTTTTCTTTTTTGGAAATATTAGATAAATTAATTTGTTGTATATATAATATATACAAAAAATTTCATAAAAACTACACTGTATAACACATTAACGCATATTAACACTAATGTGTATTAACACATGCTGTATATTGATATTCTATATAACAAGTAAGGAAAATATACTATTTCAAATAGTATTAAGTTTATGAAAATTATCAATCTTCCAATCAACTATAATTTTATGAATTTTAATTCATATTGTAAAAAATGTTGTAAATATAGTAATTATTAATATTTATTAAATAATAAGTATTATGAGATGAATATGATAACTTTACTTACCTAATAATTTTAAACAACACACTTGTATGATAACTATAAAGTCCGATTATCGATTCCGTACATATTATAGATAATGATCCAAATATAACAACAAATAAAAAATCCAAGCATAAAATATAAAAATATATGGTTCGATTGACAGAAAATAATGTAACGTAATGAAGAATATGTCTACGATAATCGTTCAAAGGCATTATAAAATCCATTGTTACAAGATAAAATAAGAATATACTAAATAATGTAACAGTTAAAAAAATCACACCTAAAAATTGGAAAAACCATTCAATAAATTATATTTAAATTGGAACATTAATATAATATTATCATTGAAAAACTGTTCTTATTGTAAAAATGAAAGAAAATCTAATATTTATGTTAAAAAATAATGAGAAAAAATTACAAATATTATACTTATGTACATAAAAATATATAATAAGAACTAAAGTACAATAATACATATAAAAATACTTTGGAATATGTAATTTCTTGCAATGACAATGGTAATATTATACATTGATATCATCAATGAAATTTTCTTACGCAAAAGTATTTCGATTGTGTGATAAGAATCATTGATGTATTTCGTTCGTATTTGTGTTTCTATTAAATCTTGTACTATATTTTCTTCCACACGCATATGGTGAGATAAAAGTTTTAGCTATCAAAAAAAAAAAAAAAAAAAAAAAAAAAAAATGTAAAAATATTTTTCCATGAAAAAGTCTAAAATAAATTTAATTTTTACTTACCATAGGAAAAAATACTATAAAGCTTATATATCGTAACAAAATTATTATAAGTGGACAAGTCGTAGAAAATATTAAAATACAGTTTCGTAACGTAATTTCAGATCTTAGAAGTGACATAATCTAAAAATTTTTTAATTATAATATATTAAAAATATTAAATTTTGTAAAAATTATATAGTATTTCAATCGCGTTTTTAAATATATTATCATTATTATCATTTAATCGGTATTCTAAAATATATATAATATTACAGTTTATTGTAAAATAAAAATATAATCAAAAATAAAAGTAAAATGTAAATGTAAAAGTAAAAACGTAAATATTAATTTTAGTATGTTCTTTTTATATATGTATACAAAATCTAGCTGAATAGCATATATATCCGAATAAAAAATAAAAATTAGAATAAAATTTTTTAGTTTCGTTTTTTTCGAGAAAATTAAATTTTTTGAAGAATAATTGCATAATCTTCAATTAGATATAATAAATTATAAAAAATAATTATAAAAAAATAAATTAAATAAAAAAATAAATTATAAAAAAAAGATTCGATATATGAAAATATACAAAAAATGTAGAATTAAATTTTAATTCCTTTTTTTTTAAAAGAAATATATATATATGTTAATAATAAACAATTTTACTACAACTTTTAAAATCCATTTCTTTTGAAAATTAATTTTTAAACGAAATAAAATATTATGCCGTGTATATATATTAACTAAACATTGTATACTTCAAAATGTGATAACTTTTGAATATTACACAAATATGTTTTCATACATTCATATGCTAATACGTGTATGTTATTCACAAATTTAAAATCATAATACAGTATATTAATACACATTATTTATATTTTATATTAATATGATAAATGCATATTATTAATTTACAAAAAAGAACATTAATATAATATGATAAATAATATGATATATAATATATAATTAATTATATATAATTAAATATATAATTAATATGATAAATGCTGTAATAAATAGATAATATCTTATAAAATATTTCATTATAAATTAATTTGTATTCATAAAAATACTCATAAAAATGAATTACGCAAAGAAAAATTATAATTTTTGTCACCTGAAATATTATATTGCCAAGAAATAATGCCAATATCCATAATCTTTGAATCCACACATAGACCGAGTTATTGTACGGCCATAGTCCAATGATTTTCAATATAGTACAATAAGTATGATAATGTTTGTCGAATACGTCCATATTTCTAGTCAGATATAAACTGTCATATAATACTCGAAGAATCATTCAACTATACCTCAACTTGATATATTATTTACGCTATTATTTTTCTCTCTCGTATTTTCATATTATTTTTTTTACAATAATAATAGTATAATGTGTAGCAATTGCAGTAAATTATAATCGATCGATTTTATGTATATCTTCTGCAAAGAGATTTTCCATAATAGATATTGTTTTCAAGAAAATTATAGTATTGAAGTTTCTTGTTTGTATTATTAATTTTTATTGTCGTTTATTTTATTCTTCAATTTTTTCTTTATTTTCCTCTTTCTTTCCAAGTGTTGAGAACATGAATAGTAGTCTTTCGATTACTCTACAAGAGAACTTCTTCCTTGCTTGCATCGTTATTTTTTCAATTATGAATACTTCATATTGTTATTTCATTCAAGAAAAAGAAATTGGAAGATATGAATAAAAGAGAATGTGTTCGAATAATAATATGTAAGAGAAATCTTTGTAGTAAGTAATATGTAATTAATTTATACTAGTTATAATAATTTTTATATACTGTATTTATGTTTTAAAAATAATTTTTATTTTATTATTTTAAATAATTATTATTAGTATTATAATTATAATTAAATATTATTTCAAATAATATAGTTAAAACACAATTATTAATACTTGAACGAATAATTTTATATTTAATTTGATTTCGAATGAAATTATACCCTATTGTAATTTATATAATGTAACTTGAAATATGTATGAAATATTTTAATAAAATCCGATATAATTTTATTAGGAATGTATGATAGAAAACATGTATATTATATTTATAGTCTTTTATTATTAGAATTGAGGATTAATCACAAAATAAATATTCTAAAATCAATTAAGAAATTATATGAATGATAAACAATGATAAATAATGATTATATAAATTTATAATTATTAATGTAAATTTATAACAAAAAACAAATAAATTTGTTGAATAATTTGAATGATAATTGAAAAAAGTTTATAAAATTTTTAAAATAGTTTAATAAGCTCGAAGTGAAAAAATAATATACAATACAAATTAATTGCATCCAGTTGGAAGAAATACAAATATTTATTGATTTTTAGTATTTTTAATTAATTGTTTAATATTAAAAAATCAAAAGAAATTTTTTACATTATTTTTTTAATATTATAAACTTCAAATATAAAATATCGAGCATATATAAAATAGAAATATTAAGAAAAAATTTTTTAAAGAATTAATTTCTAATTATTAAATATTTGAAAAAAATTTTTTTTTGAATTTTTTTAAAAAAACTTTTTGATATCCTATAAAAACTCTCCAATATATTACATGAAAATGAATCGTATAGAGAATAATTTTGAGTTTTAAATTCTTCAAATTTGGAATTGATAATCTCAGAAACATCCATTGTGAAACGACATACCATCATTGTTAAATTATAGAAAATTTTAATATAATACAATATTTTGATATTTTAATATGCAATATATATATGTTATTTAATGAAAATTATTAATTATATATCGAAATTCCGAGATATTAACGATTATATGATATTATATATAAATTTATGGTAAATTGTTGTACAAATGTTTTATTTAAATCCATAGATAAATTATACTATGATATTCAACCTATTTACTTACCGAAATCCGTAAATACAAATCAAAATTTCATAAAATTTCATAAAATTTCAAATTAGTAAAGGGTATTTTTCTTTATTATAATTAATAATTCAATTATCAAAATAATTTTATTCGAATTATTAATAGATATAAAACGTGATATTAATACAATCAAAATATTAATATTAAATTTTGATTATTATTTCTGTTAAAGTTTAACTAAATGACTTTGAATATTACACAAATAGGATGCCTGAACTAATGATATTATTATGATCTCGAAAGACCATTTACTATCGATCATTAAGACTACATTATCGTTTATATGAACGATATAATGAACGAATGGTGATTTACTTTAACTGTTTACAGCTAATTGACCATTGATTGCAATGATTCTAATTGTACTTCGATCTGTATCATTCTATCTAATCTAAATTCTATTTTTTTTCTAATTAGATTAATCTAGAATTAGGTTTGATCTAGAAAGTTATCGCGAATCTTGGTTTCTCCTCCAATCATTAATTTCCATGAAAACGCAAACTAAGAGAGGATTAAAGTAACCAATAGTCGCGTTAGAGGGCGGTTTCGAAGGGTGGACCTTCGTGAATTGACGTCGCAGCGCATGCGAGATTAAAACCTTTGTGATCGCTTCTAAGGTAAGATCGCAAAGCAAATATGACTTGTGAAATGACCGTTACTCTCATATGTTTGTTTAGATTGAGAATTTGGAAAATGTTAGAAAACTATATCTATTCGTAAATTATTGCTAAATTATTGAAAATTGTAAGCTGAAGAAATAAACCTTGAATAATAAATCAAAATTTTCTTTTTAAAGAAACATAAATATATTTCATAGTTATATTACATATTATATTAAATTGAAACAAAAATCAAATTTAAAAAGATATTAATAATACATTTATTTTTCATTTAGGAATTCTGCTACATAAATAACATTGCCATATTTAGCTCTCTCATTTTCTATCATTATTTAACATAAATTTAAAATACTTAATCATTAACTAAGCATCTTACCAACCAATATATTAATATTAATTTAATATTAATATTAATTTTTTTATTGCATTGATATTTAAAATCTACTTTTAAAAGATGTTTTACATTTTTGTAATCATATACTCAAGCAGAAGTTTATTATCGCGTTGGTTTTCATTAAGCCATTCGATCGAGCCAACTAATTTATGAATAATAACAAAACTGAATGCAATTTCATTTCGTCTCATTTTATATCGAAGGAGATCTGATAAAAATAGTAATCGCAAAATTGATTCTAACGTGATTTTCAAAAATTAAATTTTTTTTTGCATCATATATTTATGATAAAAAACAAAAATCTCAACGAAATTATGAACTGCAAGTATTTTCTTTTTGAAGAAAAAGTTGAAGTCTTTTGATCGTTTAAATTTATTTTATTTATAGAATACTTATTATGAAATTCTTTTTACAGAATTCTCTATTTTACAAATATTTATTTATTGTATATGCTACTATATTTGTTTATTTGGATCCATCTAGCGGATTATTAGTAAATTAGCATAGTTATGTCTATTATATTCTCTTCGTTACTTCCCAATTTATATGGTATGTGCCATTTTGAAAACTATGAAACATTGTTATTATTTTTATTTTATATATTATCTAATAATAAGTAATTATATTTAGAAATTATAATATAGTATTTCTAATATTTACAAAATGTTATCTTTTATAAAATGCTTTTTTATAAAATGAGATTTTTATAGAAGAAGAACTTTTCAACTTATTGAGCTCGAGAAATATATCGCAACCCAAGATTGATACTAGAGAGAACTTTTAATGTTTAGATTGAAAATAAATAATCGATATAAAACGAAAATCAAAAAATTACACGACCAGCTTTGCTTTAAAATAAAAATCCAATGTATCGAGTTTAATAAATCAAGTTTCAAAATTTTTCAAATAATATGAAATTAACTAATTTCTAATAGGATATGAATACAATTGTTCAATATAGAAGATTATTCAAAATGTGAAAATAAATAAAAAATTATATAAATATTGTTTTAAAATTAGTTTTTCAAGAAAATGTATTCAAAAAATTATATTTTCTAAAAATTATAAATTTTTTCGCAATTTATTCAGTACTTGACAACGATCATTTAAGTGTTTCAATACATTGAATTTTGAATGATCATATCGTACTATACTATAAGCGAGTCAAATCTATTAATGATCGTTTTATTCTTTGATGTTTCAGATAATAGACGCGTACAGATAAGTAGATTAATTTTCTATATTTTGCTATATTCTTCTATATTCTATATTTTTTCTATTTTCTATTTTATTTGCTATATTTTTTCTATATTCTATATTTTCTATATTTAATTCTATATTAAATAAGTATTGTGATAAAAGAATTAATATTAATAATGGAGCTAATTAAATTCTAACATTTTTTTTTTTTTTAGAATATTACGATATACAATACATTTGCAATCCAATTTTTTTGAAAATTGTCACAAAGTTTTTTGACCTTTGTGACAAATACGATGAATTAAGAAAAAATTCGATTTTATAAATCATGCTTGCAATAACTTTTTTTCTTTGATGCAAAGGAATTATTTGAAACATATAATTATATAATTTTTTAATCATCCTGTATAATTTATTTTAAATTTATAATAAATAATAAGTGAATTGTTTATTTACATTTAATCTATTTGTTGAAAACTTATGAGAGCAAATTAAAACGTTCTTCCATGAGATTTCGAATAAAAAAATTGAATTTTAATGATTTTCTACGCAAATTCTTGCTTCTTTTAATTATTCAATCAACTTCAACCAATTCGAATTTCTTATCGAAGAGATTATAGAATTGAAGAAAACATTTAACAATTCCACAGATTGATAACTTAAATCAATATCGTTGAAATCCTTAAAAAATCTATATATCGTATATATTATCTTTTTTATTTATATTCCAAATGCACGTTAAATTGATTAACTTTTTTTCTTGCATTCTCATTCATAATATACTTTATAAAGGAATGAATCAAAATCAGACAAAACAATACTGGTAACAAAAGATTATTAAAACATTCGATTTCGAATATTATTTTCTCATGTTTTTTTTTATTTATTCTTGTTTTTAATACTTTCAATTAGAATACAATAGTTATCCTATTTCAATAAAATATTGTTAATCATACCATAGTATTCATATAAATTTATATTGATAAAATAATAATATTTTGTACATATTTGTTAAGTCAAATGATAAATAACTTTGTGATACGACCAAACAGAATTCTTGGAATTTGTCTTCAAATACTTAGAAAATTGAAAAATAAGTTCCTTAATTT